TGAAACGAAGGGGGGGGGGGGAAACGTGACAAGAGTTACATATAAAAAAGATAAAATGTAAAGTATCTTTTTATCATTGAGGGACACAGCAATTCTATTACAGTTGGGTTATACAGCCGTCTACAGGAGGTCGTAAATGACTGAAACTGACACACGACGGCTCAATAGATCGGGAAGTGAGTGAGCGCATACCGTCGCTCGCTCCTGTCCCTGCAGAGAGGCGTGACTGTCACTCACGGCTCCCCGCAGGGAACCCCCCCCCTCCCTCTTCGATCCTCCAGCGCTGAATGGTGGAATGGAAGAATAGGGAGCTGTAGCTCGCGGTATACTGAGCTTAGGGTGACGGGAGGACGCTAGTTTGTGTCCTCCCGTGACCCTGAGGAGAACTATGGGGAAAACCCTGACCTCGTAGTTCTCCTTTAATCAATGGGAAAGGTACACAAGGAAGAAGCGGCGGGGTTTCTGTGCTCACTCAAATCCACAGATGCCGGAAAGTTTGCAAATACGCTCACTGGCACGGCGACTCCCAAACAAAACAGGCCTCCCTTGTTGGGTAACCAGAAGTGACCCAATGTTCAGAAATAAAGGGTGCCGCACCAAAAAGGTGAAAGAGAATGCAAAAAAAGAGCCATTGAAAAGAGCCATTAAATAGAGCCATTGAATAGAGTCCAAAAGAGCCATTTTTGTTTGAATTGCTCAAACAAAAAACAGCCAACGCGTTTTGAGGGAAGCATTCCCCCTTCTTCAGGGCTTAGAATGGGATAAGGATTGCACTCAAAAGAGGTCATAACCAGATGGATCTCCATACGATTTGATAATAAGATCTCTTTCGTGACTTGAATTGTAATTAGCAGCAGCAATGAGAAAGAGGCAACAATATAATAGTTAAAGGGGAAAGAGGTGAGGTGACATTGAACAGGCAATGAAGAATAGGCGCTTATGAACATTGAACCTCTCCATAGAACCCTAAGGGAGCCCTATATTGAAGGTAACCCATCCTTCTTCTCTGCACCGTGGCCCTTCCTCGTCATGGCTGCATACAGTGGCGTAACAATCACCATAGCAACCCAGGCGGCCGCTATGGGGCCCGGGGCACAGTGGGGCCCGGCCAGATGCCATGCGGGCCGCCTGGGTCGCTATGGGATCCTCTGCTGCTGGCTTTCACTGGCGGCTGAAGACGAACACGCCACTGTTCAGATCACTGACCGTAATCTGCGAGAGGAGGAGGCGGGGGCCCATCAGCGACCATGGATGAAGGGGAGGCGGACAGGTAAAGGAGTGCGACCAGCCCATCTGAGGGTGGACCTGCAGAGCCCACCATAGGGAGTCTAGGGTGGGCTCTGCAGGGTCACTCTCAGGTGGGCTCTGCAAGGGGTATAACTAGAAATCACGGGGGGCCCCATACAAACTTTTGCTATGGGGCCCTGCGATTTCTAGTTACGCCCCTGGCTGCATAGGTGGGATGCAACACTGCAGCACAGAGAACGGTGGACGTGATACAAAGGCTTTGAGATGATCTCACCATGCCAACGTCTGCCCATAAATCAGCTCCAGAACATTGCGGGCGATGTCAAACTCGGTGCGGTACTTCTCATTCTTCTGTCTCTTCTGCTGAATAAACCTGTAAGAAAAAT